GTACGTTTAAATAATTAAATATAGCAATGAAAATATAATAATTTTCGTAATTTTATATTAAAAATGAAAAGCAAAATATATTTCCGAAGTAATATTACAAAATAACGCGAAAACATGAAAAATGACTTAATTTTTGTTTTTCGGTATATTTAGTCCACCTTTGCAATATGGGCAAAATGGGGCAGGTTTTTTCGAAAGAAGAAACATCAAAGAAGACAACAACAAAAAAGTTTAGCTAATTACCTCGTGGAACTTTTTGGAGATAAGTTTCGAAAGTGATTCAAACATTGTAAAATGTCAAATGATAAGATATAAACTATAAGTTTGTCAAGAGTATTAACTAATCCAACAAATTGAAAAATTGCACTATAATTTCAGACTAATTACTCTGATAAAAATGCAACAGAAAGGTGAAATTCCTATATATATTTCTGAAATATAAATTTTAAAGTCAAATTAAAAAAGAAAAAATTAGCATATTTTTCACTACATTGTACTCTTGTCGGTCCGAAAAGTAAATTATAATGTTTGGAATGATTATGGATACTTAACTTGGGCGAAATTAAAGCTGTCTAAACATATTTTAGATGAAATTTAATTTTTGACTTTTTGAAAGATCATGGTCTTCTGGTCTACTGTGCAAGGGTTAGAATTAGTTAACGTGAAGTTAATTAAATGCAGTGCTGCATCGCACATCAAATTTGTTAAAAAAATTCTTTCTCGTCTAAGTCTTTTACTTAATTTAGATTTATTAGTTGTTTATGTATTTTATTGTAACCATTATATATTTTTATTTTGGATATCTGGCAACTTCGATGCATAATTAGTTTGCTTATGTTAAACATGGCTTCGTGTCTGTCTTTGTGTTAAGTAAGAAATATTTAGTCAAAGAATTGAAATCTGTGTGAAGGAATATAAAAGGTGTTATTTAAGGGAAGTTGTACTTGATGGGCTTGGTTTACTTGAAATAGAATGGAAAGAACAGTTGCTCGCGTAAACAAATGCCACGTTTCAACAACCAATCAGGATCGAAATACGCACACTACGTCAATTGCAGGTTTCCTATTAGGTGCAAATTGTTAAAACTAGTAGATTCTTTTTATTTGAGTATGCGTAAGTTGTAAAATAAAATTTGTTCTATAATAGCGACATAACAGTCAACGACACAGATTCTAACATACAATTTACACATACTCAAACAACAAATAAATAGAAACAAGGCAAAGTAGGTATTTTATTTGCGTCACACTAGAGCTGCATAATGGGGTAATGACGACAGTTTAGGAAACGTCCCTGAGGATGATCCGAAGACATGCTTTCACAATTTTGTGATGGCCACTACCTCATTTTAGACATATATCTGAAGGGGATGGAAATTTTCTCCAGACCCATGATACTGCTTGGAAACCGACCACAGGACATTCAATTTAACAGATTTTCCTAGCACGTATATCGCATGTACTCGGTGGCTCTTAGGAAAGGCGAGAATCGAACCCCGGTCCATCCGGAACACTTGGCTACCACGGTCCAGTGGTCTGACACACAAGTATCACACCAGTATTATAACTGATGACGCAAGTAAATAAATTCTTGTATCCACCTATGGATCTTATTTATCAAAAGTTAGTTTCATGGAAATAAATAGTTTCTAAAAATAATTTATTCTTCTTTATCATTTCATTTAATAATAGTTGAAAAATATTTTAATTGTAAGACACACAAACTTTTACACCAGTTTATATTACGTAATTTAAAATTATAAGACTAAAAATTTGAATGAAATTGGTTGAACAGTTTTTGAGTTATATAGTTTCAAAGGAGTCGTAATTTTAATTTCTGATTAATCACAAATTGTTCCACTCAAAAATCGCTCAAAATTAGTATTTTATCATTTAAAATTGCGTAATTTAATAAGGTGTAAAAACTTGCCCACCTTAAAATCCAATTTTTTATTAAAATTAAACAAAAAATAAATATTTTTTTCATGAAACTATCCTTGAGAAAATGAGTTCCATAAGTGACAGCAAGAAATATTTAAATTGCACAATCAGTTTTAAAGATATGATAAAAAGAAAGAAATCAATGTTACTAAACTTTCGTATATTCTCATGGCTGTTATCGGCATCATATTTTCCAAATTGAGAATATATTTTGATGGTTAAAAATCTAAATCCATCAGAAATTACTTATTTTGTGCCTTATTTTAGTAACTTTTTTTAATAATTAGTGCTACTTAATCAGTTTAAGATAAACTCTATGAACATTTAAGATTTGTTCTAAGCATGTAAAAATCTGTTCATTAGAACAGAAGTTATTCGGGGTGATATTTTTTTTCCAATCACTTCTGAACACTTCATATTTCATTGTTATGTTTGGGCTATTTACATTTTTTTCAAAAAAGTTGGATTTTATGTTATATTGTTAAGGTAGTTTAAAATGTTTGTCAGAAAGTCTGAAAAAAAATAATTGAAGTAATTAATTTTTTTTCTTTTCTTTTACTAGCAAAAAGGATCACACTATTTATTGTATTCTATTGATACAATAGTGATATTGATACAATAGTGAAACTCACTAATAGTATTATATTGATATATTTTGCTTTGGCTATATTAATGGCTTTGGTTAGAAAGCACTCTATTGCGCGGATATAATCGTGTGAGCTGTCGACGAGAATATATCTATTCCTTATTTTGTTTTCTGGCTTTTCAATATTTCAAAAAAAGCTTTTGAAACGAATTTTAATTATTTCAAAATAATTAAAATTATTTTTTCCAAAATCTCGATAAAAATAAACTAATTAAAGCAGGCGAATATATATATGAAATTT